TTTATCAAAATGACTTCTTGATAAATTCTGGAATAATATTAACTTTTCCAAATATTCCAGGAAGGCTGAACAAATCGGTTTAGCCTTCCTGTTATCCACTGAAAGTCTCGCTCTCTCATTCAGCCTGAATGAACAGGAGCTTCTCCTTAAATAGCTTTTTGCTGCTGCATTGGAAAACATGCAGTTGTGAAAATATTAGTGACTTTGCCGTGCTAATTCATCACATTGACTCTTCAGCAAGAAAACCTGCAAGAAATGTGATTTTATTTCTTTATTTGGTTTCTGGTCTTTGGAAACGTTTGAATCTCCTTCCTGTAAAAATCCTGTTGAGTAAACAGTGAAACTCTGAGGCAGGTGAAGAGATATTGGTGATAAATGAAGGGACTAAACTGTACATTAAATATTGACTCTTTACCTTAAATGTTGGTATGTTTGTGTGAATGCTGCAGACACCAGCTGGTCTGCTCAAACCTGAACAGATCAAATGTTTGCAGAATGCATCCTCTGGTCTTTAAAATGCACTAATGTGCGCTGAAGTCACGCTAGCGGGACAGAACATGCGTGGATCTGCTCTCTGCACAAGCGTGCAGCTTCAGCTGCGTGTTTCAGCGAGTGTTTTCGCTCTGGAGGTAGATGGAGCGAAGCACTTACAGCTTATATAACGCACAACTTTGGCCGAGAGAGGGAAGTGTGACCTGGGTACCATGCAGATGCATCTGCCTACCCATGCCTCCAGGTGTGTGTGTGTGGGGGGGTGTGTGTGGGTGTGTGTGTTCTCCCTGAGGACTCCCTGCACACCCCTGACTGTCAGTTGTGCAGTGAAGTAGCACAAGCTGCCCTCACAGGGAGGCCTTCCTGTGAGCCACTGCGTCTCATCCTGACGTTTCTGCTGAAGTTTAAGCTTTTCATAAAAAGGTCTGGTTGCTTTTCACCAATCAGAATAAAGTCTCAGTCCTTCTGTTTGTCCAAGCATCACTTAAAGCTGATCCTTGCGCTGTTGTATTTTCAGTTTATTCACTTTGCAGTAAAACTTTCTGGCTCCAATGTGTCCCTCTGAATGCCTTAATATTATCTTAGAGATCAAATTAAAGCAGTTTTTATGTTTGGCATTAAATTTTGCCAAATTCCCACAAAATCAACAGTTTCGTGCTAATTCATCATTTTAAGTTCATTTTCTGCAACAACGGTGAAAAACATCGGGTTTAATTGACTGTTTACTCCCACCTGCAGGTGGCAGTGTTTCATACTCAACATTAGTTCACAATAGAGTTTCAAAAGTCACATTTACTATCATGCATAAGCATAAATACTTTTATATTAGCGTCACAAAATCACTGATTTTGGTTGCAAAAAATACTCAGAAAAATCAAGACATTCTGCGGGGACTGATCAAGGTGAAAAGATGTTCAATATTTTAGATTTTATGAATAACTTATTGAATGCACAGCTATTTATTACTGCTTTAGCTGTTTTTAAGAGGGTTCATGTACACCTCATGCATTCTGCAACATAATAACAGTCATGATCTTGATAAAACCTGAATGAAAGTGAGTTTTACCTTCCTGTGTTTTCCTGCTTTCTGTCTGATCTGTTCCTGTAAACCTGAGCTGCACTGATTGTCTCCATCTTTATGTTTTGAAGATGAGTTTATGATAATCTCAGCTAGTCTGGGATTATCATGATTGTCTGACTTTGAACAATAAAAGTGAAACTAACAGGAGTTTTAATCAGCTCCTCTGAATCATTTTTATTATGATTTTGTTTTTCTAATCAGAATCACTGATTTTCTGATGCTATTTGTTTTTTCTGATTGATCTCATTAAATAATGTAAATATGGAAGAAAAAGATGAGAAAAAACTATCAGACATTTTAGATTTTTGAAGAACATGAAATAACTTCATTTTTTCAGAGTCCAAATCTGTTGTCCTGTTCAGCAGCACCAGTGGATCTGGTCTGAGTTAAACACAATAAAACAAGCTTCTTTTATTGCCTCATCGTTGTTAGTTAGTTCATATTTAGAACCATAATCCTGAATATTGGATGAAAGCAGCAGATGATGCGTTTTTGGTGCAGATTTCTGGTTCTGTCTGATCCGCTGAAGAAGCTGTTTGCATTCATGAATTCATCAGCGCCAGACAATCAGCTGATGCTGTTAAAGTCAAACTGGCATGACTAATGAGGCGGCTAATGAATCAGTCAGCTTGGACCATGCATGTGCATTTTAATCACGTCTGTCTCAGACCTGCGTCTTGTTTTACAAGTGACGCTCGTTTCGTCTGCGGCTGTTTTACATCCTGATGTTTGGCTCTTCACTTCTTCAACAGGCAAAACGTTTCTGTCAGGTTTTAGTTTGAGTTTATTTAATAAAACCAATAAAAGCCTGGTGACATAAAGAGCTGAGTGGTTTTATATTTGCAGACAGGATGTTGCGTTGATGTTCAGTTTTACCTTCATGCAGTTTGATGTGGATCAGAACTTCCTGCAGCTTCCTGAGGGAAACTCGGAGCTTCTCCTCAGGAGGAGCAGCAGGCGTCGGATGTTTCCAACCCGTTTCACCAAATCTTTCCATCAAAATTACTTCTGAAAGCAGAAACTAAAATGCATCAAATATTTTTTATAAAAGTCGTGAAAATTTAAGCATCTTCATTCCTCAAATTCTGCTGAACAATATTTTAAACTATAATAATAATCTAAAGATCAAACATGAAGCTCTCAGCTCTAGTTTGGCCCAACATTTCAAAGAATTGAACCTTAAATAATGTTAAATTTATGCATCTTCTTATTTTAATTTGTAACACCTCTGAGAATGTAAACCCTGAGCTGCTCAGAGAGAAAAACCTTCCAGAAAAGTTTATATCAAATCCATTTTCTGCTCTGAATTCAGATATTTTTCCACATTTCTCCCCTGAGTCGATTTAAAATGGATTTTGAGCAGGTGTTTTGTTTTCGTGTTTTAAATCCAGTTACTTGTGGAGTTCTGCCTGGCGGCGTTCTGGGTCCTCCTCTGTTCACGCTCCCACTCTGATCAGCCATGAGACAACAAAACATATTTTATCACTTTGTCTTTTTAAATCCTATTAAAAATGTACCTAAACGTTTCAAACTTTCATCAGCTCTGACCTTTGACCTCTTGGCCGCTCTGACGTTGGGCTGAATCTGCTGCCATGTTTTCCTCCCCACATAATGATGAACGTCAGATGGATTTGACCTTTGACCCTTCCCAGGCTGACGTTGGCAGCAGTTCCTGCTCTGGCAGAAGTGATGATGTTGATGGATTCGTTTTAAACAGTGAAATGTTTCGTGTCGTATTTTAGTTTCTCGCCTCTTGAAGGCGAGACGATCAGAAGAGTTTCAGCTCTTCTGTGCTGCAGACGGTTTAGCTCTGACAGCTGTATGATGTCATCATGTTTCCGTCTCAGTGGGCGTGATGTCACAGGGTCTGAGTTCTTTAATCGACCTCCAGCAGGAAGCCCGGTTCTGCTCCACCAGCAGCGCCGAGCGCCGCCTTCCCCACTAACCCACTGAAATCACATGGTTCTTAAAAATACCACAGAAATAATTTATTTATGGGCACAAAGAGCAGCGGCGGCGCTGGCAGAGCTGCAACCTCCGCGCAGGTTGCAGGGAAAACACGGCAGCGGAACAGACGCTCCGGATCCGGGTCGACCCGGTTCCCAGCAGCAGCTCACTTTGCACCACTTTGCATTTTCAGGACTGAAAATGCAAAGTGGAACAAAACAATGCAGTTTACCAGCAGCAGGTCCGGGCAACGATGTGGGGAAGGTCAAGCAGAGTTAACATGTGGAGGAGCTGCAGGGATTCAGCGCTCAGGTTGGAGAAAAGCCTCAGATCTGATCTGCATGGAAGGAGGGAAAAAAGAAATCAACTCCGTCTGGAAACACTGTGGGCCTGAACTTCTGGCAGTTTGCACGTGCAAACCTGATCTATAACGAAACGTAAACATCAGGAGAACGAGGAGAAATCAGGAAAATCAGGAACTGATGAAATAAAACCGCAAAATCCTGAGACGAGGAAAAGTAAAGACTTTCCCTCAGTGTGATTTACTAAACCTGGAAACAATTTTACATCCGTGCTTTGAACGAAGCACTTGTGAAAGCTGTGTGTGTGTATGTGTGTGTGTGTGTGTGTGTGTGTGTGTGTGTGTGTGGTGTGTGTGTGTGTGTGTGTGTGTGTGTGTGTGTGTGTGTCCATCCTTCAGCATCATTGCATAATACAGAGAAAACAGAGGATTATGTAAAGCATGACTGGAGGTGAAGACCTGAACATTTTCCTCTAAAGACTGAACCTGGCCGCCGTTCCTCCACCGTTTCGCTCCGGGTCCGTTTCGCTCCGGGTCCGTTTCGCTCCGGGTCCGTTTCGCTCCGGGTCCGTTTTGCTCCGGGTCCGTTTCGCTCCGGGTCCGTTTCGCTCCGGGTCCGTTTCTCATCATCACTTCCTGGTCTGGAAGGGGACAGGAGCCGAGTCATGATGAGATCCATCATTTCCAGATTTTTATGAAACTGCAAACTGAAAGACGAAAATAGACTTTTTCTGACTGTCCTGTCAGAAAGTAACTCCAAATATTTCTGTCCTACGATCCGCCATGTTTTGGCTTTTGCTAGAAGAATTAAGTAGTAATGAATGAGAAAATGTGAAATTATAATTTGATGTTTATTTTAGAATATTTCATCTTTGAAACCAACTATTGATTATTCCAGTCAGACATTAAGAGTTTGTGAATGAAATAGTTTAGGAGAATCTTAAAACATTTCCCAGCCTCCAGACGGTAACGTTTGTTTCTCTCACGTAAAACTCCTCCTTGCTTTCAGGTTTTCACTCTGACGGAAACCATCTGTCTGTCTGTCTGTCTGTCTGTCTGACCCGTCTGTCTGTCTGACCCGTCTGTCTGTCTGACCCGTCTGTCTGTCTGACCCGTCTGTCTGTCTGACCCGTCTGTCTGTCTGTCTGACCCATTTCCTGACCCGTTGTGTCTCGGCAGGTGAACCAGGAGAACGTGGTGAAGGTGGGCCACAGGCAGGTGGTCAACATGATCCGCCAGGGAGGAAACCGGCTTCTGATCAAAGTGGTGACCGTGAGCCGGAACCTGGACCCGGAAGACACGGCGCGTAAAAAAGGTGGGAACCCGCTGGATCTGGAAACGTGTGACGCTGTTAGTAACAGCTTTTAAAGACGATGAAGAGAAATAACCTGAAGTTTGATCTGATTTCCCTCCTAAACGGATCAGAATAAAATAATCCGTAGAAATTGAAGCTGATTTAAAAACTTCAGTCACTGAAATTCATGAACTTTTCCACATTTTACCACAAACGTAACTTTATGGTTAAAGTTCATCTTTGTTTGGAAACCAACTGATTTCACTCCATCATGACGAATCAATTATTGGAATAATTATCAGCTAATCTAATAATGAATTAATTGTTAACTGAAGAATACAGACTTGAAAAATCCATTTGTTGAGAGTTTTCAGTTTAACCTCGGATTCTGGACATTTATTTCCGAAGCACCTTTTTCTTATTAATCAGTTATTAATCAGTTGATTCAATAATAATCAGTGCTATGCTGTGCAGAAAGGTTTGAGCTTTTCAGCTGCAGATTAATCATTTGCTACTCATAATCAAATATTCACTAAAGGAATGATGTTGCTGCATAAAATAGTCATTAATTATCTAAAATTGAGTTAAATTATGTGTTTATCTGCATATTTTAATGTCTTTCTAATGGAAACGAGAGATTTAACTGATTAAATAAAAAATCTGCAAAGTGATGAAAGAATAAAAAGTGATTTTTTTCATGGAGTTAATCATCAGATTATTGGCTCCATCTGTCTTCCCAAGAAATCTGAATCTGCTTCTGTGTGTCTGCTAAAGAGAAGCGTCCGCAGCATGATACTGCCGCCACCGTGTTTCTGTCACTTTGCAGATAAACGAATGCTCCTGCAGTCGTTTTGGTTTTTTTGCTCATATTTGGACTCTTCCTCAGCTCCTCCGCCGCCGAAGCGAGCCCCCACCACCGCCCTGTCCATGCGCTCCAAGTCCATGACGTCAGAGCTGGAGGAACTCGGTAAGAGCTGCACGCCTTTCTGGTAATGTTGGAGACGTGAGGGAGTGTCTAACAGCACCTCTGTCCTTCCTCTGCTCCTCTTCCTCATTGGTTGGCCTCTGTAGTGGATAAAGGTAAGCAGTCAGCACCTGCAGCTTCCCGCCTTGCAGCACAGAATGAGGCCTTGCTTTGGTTTGACTTGGTGAAAGAAGGAAAAAGCTTGTTGCTCCCTCCTCATCTCCTGCCCTCCGTTCCCATCATGCATGGCGGTTTGACCTCTGCTCCTGTAAAGCTTGATATCAGTGTGCTGCTGCAGCTGTTCCTGTTGTATCTCTGTGTGGGGAGGAAAAGCGCTGAGTCGCTCTGAGTCGCTCTGAGTCGCTCTGAGTCGCGCTGAGTCGGCAGACAGTGGGCAGATCGGACACCAGTGGCCGAGTCGGAGCCGAGGGCTGATTCAGGGAGGGAAGGGTTAAACTCAGACCACAGCATTTTGAAGGTTTCCTGGTCTGAAACGTTCAGCGCTGCTGATGAGACCTGCAGAGAGCTGCTCTGGTTTCATGTTTCTGTTTCCTGCCGTCACATTTTGCTCCCGTTGATGAACAGATGGAGGCGATGAAGATTAACCTCTGCTGGTTCTGCCAAGCCCGTTCCCGTGGCTGTGGTTTCACTGGATGGGAGTTGGGAACTGTGGGAATCTCGTTCATCCAGTCATCGCTAGTGAGATGATGAGGCCTTTGGCTGCCTGAAGAGATTACACACACGCACTGCAAAAACTATTTTTAGTCTAGTTTCTGGTGCGAATGTCTCAGCACATGTAAGATAAACTCATTTACAAATAACTTTTCAGTAAAGCACTGATATAAAATGACTGATTCGTTTGTAATCTGCTAATAATCTGATTGGTTTAATCTGTGTCCTGCTGAAAGTTTATTTATAAATTAGTTCTGTCTGATTTAAAATTTGCAACAAGAATTAAACGAAAAATTTGGTAGGATTTCTCGTGTTTTGCAGTTTCATGTTCGACCGACCTGAAGGATCCATTAATTAAACTAATCATGAACTGTGAAGAACAAAAAGGGGGAAGTGTATGTAAACTTGTGGTTTCTGCTGAAGGAATTCTGGGAGTTTTGATGAAACTTGAAGCAGGAAGGATTTAGTCACCAGATGTGACCTCTGGTTTTAAACCTGGATGAAAAGGTTTGAATTTGTTTCCTGCTCTGAAGAATTGTTTTTTCTTCACCTCTTAAGCCACGCTACGGAAGAAGAAAGGTGGTAAGTTTCCTGTAGGCATGTTTGCTCTGGTTTTCTGTCCATCCTCCCGCCTCACATCCCCGTCAACAACTAACAGTTTTTTCTTATTTTGGTTTTTCTTTAATGTGACTGAGTCAGAGTGAAACATGCAGTGTGTTTTCTGTCAACCTGCATGATTTACAAGCTGCTCTGAACGTCACTGTGGTTCACATGTTGCATGATTAACTCTGGAAATGATGTCAAACAGAAACGTGTTGCTTGCTGAAAATCCCACAAGATCCAGAGTTTCTCCTCTGAATCAACCTGCAGGAGTCACAGAGTGTTGGTGTGTGTTTATACAGTGTGTGTGTGTGTTTGTGCTGTGTGTGTGTGTGTCAGAGTGTGTTAGTGTGTGTTTATACAGTCAGTGTCTGTGTGTGTGTTAGTGTGTGTGTTTGTGCAGTGTGTGTGTTTGTGCAGTGTGTGTGTGTGTCAGAGTGTGTTAGTGTGTGTTTATACAGTGTGTGTGTATGTGTGTGTGTAGTGTGTGTGTGTGTGTTTGTGCTGTGTGTGTGTGTGTGTCAGAGTGTGTTAGTGTGTGTTTATACAGTCAGTGTCTGTGTGTGTGTAGTGTGTGTGTGTTAGTGTGTGTGTTTGTGCAATGTGTGTGTGTGTAGTGTGTATAGTGTGTGTGTAGTGTGTGTTTGTACAGTGTGTGTGTAGTGTTTGTGTAGTGTGTGTACATGTGTCTGTGTTTGTGTAGTGTGTGCTTGTGCAGTGTGTGTGTTGTGTGTATAGTGTTTTTCTGTGTTTTTGTGTTTTTTGTGTTTTTGTGTTTTTGTTTTTTTTGTTTTTGTGTTTTTTTGTGTTTTTTGTGTTTTTTTTTTGTTTTTGTGTTTTTTGTGTTTTTTTGTTTTTGTGTTTTTTTTGTTTTTGTGTTTTTTTTGTTTTTGTGTTTTGTGTTTTTTGTGTTTTTGTGTTTTTTTGTTTTTTGTGTTTTTGTTTTTTGTGTTTTTTTTTTGTTTTGTGTTTTTTTGTGTTTTTTTTGTTTTTGTGTTTTTTTTGTTTTGTGTTTTTTTGTTTTTGTGTTTTTGTGTTTTTTGTGTTTGTGTTTTTTTGTTTTTGTGTTTTTTGTGTTTTTTTTGTTTTTGTGTTTTTTTTGTTTTTGTGTTTTTTGTGTTTTTGTGTTTTTTGTGTTTTTGTGTTTTTTGTGTTTTTGTGTTTTTTGTGTTTTTTGTGTTTTTGTGTTTTTTGTGTTTTTGTGTTTTTTGTGTTTTTTGTTTTTGTGTTTTTGTGTTTTGTGTTTTTGTGTTTTTGTGTTTTTTGTGTTTTTGTGTTTTTGTGTTTTTTGTGTTTTTGTGTTTTTGTGTTTTTTGTGTTTTTTTTGTTTTTGTGTTTTTGTGTTTTTGTGTTTTTGTGTGTTTTTTGTGTTTTTGTGTTTTTTGTGTTTTTTTTGTTTTTGTGTTTTTGTGTTTTTGTGTTTTTTGTGTTTTTGTGTTTTTGTGTTTTTTTGTGTTTTTTTTGTTTTTGTGTTTTTGTGTTTTTGTGTTTTTTGTGTTTTTGTGTTTTTTGTGTTTTCTGAGTTTTTCTTCCAGGAAATGTTTCCCTTACAGGTTGCTTTCCAGGGGGACCGTGCTGCATGTGGTCCAACAGTTGAGGCAGAGATGAAATGTGAATCTTTCTGCTGTTGTGTGTCGGTGCTGCTGTCGTTGACGGCCCTTTCCTCTGCTCTGTGTGTAGATGCGCAGAAGAAGAGGATTGTTTTCCAAGTGACTCTAAGTAATCACTCCCTTAATGCATGGAAGCTTCCTCCATCCTGCGCAGGCAGAGATCAGGGTCAGCATGGTCTGGATCAAACATTCCCACTTTTCTTCACATCTAGTTCTGACAACGCAGTGAATTCATATCTGGTCCTCATCAGGTCTTAAAACAAGGAAAATGAATTATTCAAATCGCTCATAGATTTATTGCACACAGTGATGTAATGACAAACGGATCCTCTTCTTGTTCTCCGGTTATTAATTTAGCTGTTTCTGCATGTGAAGCAGCTTCACAGATTTATATTAATATTAAATAAATTAGTATTGCTCCAGTCATTTCTGGGGTTCTGCAGGGCTGCATTCTCGGTCCTCATCTTTTGAAAAGAACACAAATCACCAAAATCCTGTTAAAAACTTGCCAATGATTGCAGACTTTCATCAACTTTGACCTTTGACCTGGTGAGATTTGAGCTCTGGGTTTCTGGTAGTTTCTGACGTTGGACTGAATCTGCCGGGTCGATCGCTCCTGCAAGTCTGAGAAGTTTTCCTCTTGGGAAAAACCTTCCTCTCTGCAGACTAATCTAACAGACAGATGATAGATGACCTTTGACCCCTCCCAGGTTGCTGAGCAACAGTTGCTTCTCTGTGATCTTTGCTCAGCAGTTAACTGAAGCCTCAGGGCTGAACTTAGCGTTGTGGTTTAGTTGGCAGTGAGACCTGCTGAGGTCCAGATCAAATCAAATCCCGTACAAATGAGATGCGGTTCTGGTTTTTTCTGGGACTAATTGTTCCAGCAGCAGAACCTTTTCAGAGGATTTTTACGTGATGACATCATGGAGAGGTTCAGTTCTGACAAATTTGTCGTTGACGCCCTTCCTGCAAGCCTGAGAGTAATACCTAACGGCAAACTTGGCAGACAAACATGCATTGCTCGTTTCCGTCTCTGAGGGAGCGTCCCTGAGACCTGGATGATGCTTCTGAGCCGGCTGTTTGGAAAAGCTTGCACGGCTTCCACGGCTGGGCACATTATCTCATCAAAGTCCTCATACCCCCCGCCCCAGAAGAATTACCTTCCAACATTTACTCCAGTTTCATCTGCCGTTTTGGTGTGACAGCTCAGAGAGAGGGGCGCTGTGAATGACTGGCTTGTGTTTGGGCCGTGAGCTCCGGCCGTGCCTGCGGGTCCGGAGTGGTTCTGACTGCATGTCGGCTCCATTTGCAGATAAAGTGGAAGAGATGACGCACGCCCAGAAGAGCTCACCTGTGGACACGAAGATCGCCACCATCAAACCTCGTCCCTCCAGTCGCTGCCTGGTCACTCCCACCGACATGAACGTAAGAACTTCGGCTCATTTATGGAGCAACAATCATGGAAACATGGTGGAGTCAGCCATATGCAAGGATGAGTGTCATAGGAGTAACCAAGGGTTTTACAGCCCTGAAACCTGAATCCATGTTTTTAATCACCTGGAAAAGTAAAAATCCCAGAACATCCCAGTTCGGTTCCTTTCTGGGAATTTTCTTTCCAGAGTTTAATTTCATATTCAGAAGCTTTTTGACTCATTTTCAGACCAAACCACTGAAATATTTTAAATTTGAAAGATTGAAAAGTGGATTAAAAAGAACAAAGCAAACTTTCCCCAGAAGATAAAAAGTATCAAAAAATGATATTTTAAGAAATTTTAATTAAAAAAATGATCAGCCAGCGTTTTTATTTATTGGCATCATTCAAGTTTAGCTGCTTTTTTTCTGGAAAAATTAAATTAGGAGAAACTAAATGCGCAAAATGTTTTCAGTTAGTAATGTGTTAAACTAGTTTCACTTTCACCACATCAGTGGAAATGTGCTCATCACATAACATTTAAACAAGCCGTTTGTTATTATTGTTTAACAAATAAAAACCAGTGAAAAACCTCTGCACCGAAGAGTGTTATGGTTGTGAGACCTGGTGCCTTCACTGACTGGAAAAGCAGCTGGAATTGGTCAGATCCAGCCAGCGGATCCCCCAGCGGATCCAGCCAGCGGATCCCCCAGCGGATCCAGCCAGCGGATCCCCCAGCGGATCCAGCCAGCGGATCCCCCAGCGGATCCCCCATCCCCCAGATCCAGCCAGCAGATCCAGCCAGCGGATCCCCCAGCGGATCCAGCCAGCGGATCCCCCAGCGGATCCAGCCAGCGGATCCCCCAGCACTCTGCTGCTTCTAAAGGAAACATGAAGAAATGAGGATAAATCCCTGGACTAGATTCTGCTAACGCCGCTGCTTAGAGGGCTGCAGAAAAGTGTTTGTCTGTTTGTGTCATAAACAACATTGTGATTTTCAGTCCATGTATCACGACCGCCAGGGAGTAGCAGTGGTGCCGCCCACTGTGCCCGGAGCCCTACCTGGGGATCCCAGAGAAGGGCACCATGAGGAAGCAGAAGTCTATAGGTAGGACGCCTGTGGAGTCGCTGTGTGGGCGGCGGCTCGCCCTGCATGTCCTTTAGCTTTCAGCCGGTCAGACTTTCCGTCAGGGCTCTGTGCGCCGCAGCAACTTTACAGCTAATTATAGATCAATGAAAATGATCCGGTCAGCAAACTGAGCTTTCAGGCTGGAGGTTATTAGGCGGATGCTGAAGCAGCCAGGAGAACGGAGGATTTGAAATGAGTTATTACAGCAAAGAAACATGACTATGAAAAGAGTAAATGTGTAGTTTCTCTGATTAAATCAGAGAATGTGATTGGGTTAGCTCCGATTTACAATCCAGTTTAAATTGATGCAAATTCAGGAACAGTTTCCTTC